AAATACTCCAAAATGCTAAACTTAATCAAAAAGACTAAAATGTCCTCATAAACTCTTTCAACTTCCTTTTCTCTCCTTTTCTTCTGTCTTCACCCTCTCAAAAGCTTTATGTAATAGACGGTGAGCCAAGGTCCAAATAAGAACACATGGCGTCCTGTTTGGCAGGCGGTTAGATAAAAGTGGGGCTATTTGTCACTGTTTTTGGTTAAGGGGCTTTTTTGCCATCACTCAACAAATTCAGGGTTTGATTTGCATGAATTGCCTACTAATAATTGCCCTAATATGATACATAAGGAGACGCATTTAGGAATCCACTATGTGGAATAGTGATGCTCTCAAATATTCTCACTTTGGAAAGTGGGAAATTCTCCGTTGAAAAATGAAAAGGGTAAATACTAAATTTAGTCATTAAGTTTTATTATAAATATTAAATATTGTCTTAACCTTTTAATTTGACTAAAAATTGTCCCTTATTTTTTCATAGTTACCAAACTTAATCTTAGAACTAGTTACTTTTGTTAATTTTCAAAAGAAAATTTAACTCGAATTTTGGGAGATGCAATAGAAATTTTTACATAATTTTCTTTTAATTTTCATTGCTCTAAAATTATTTTTACTAAATTGTGGATTCTTTACACACATTAACTCTTCTTTTTTGTAAAATGTTCGGGAATTTTTTTACTTTACACTTTAGAGTTTATGTTTATATGTTACAAGCTAGAATCCTATAATCTGAGATGAATTTTCATTTTATATTTTTTTGATGGATTTTATAAAACAGTAATTTAGGTGATAAATAATTTAAAATTAAAAAATATTTAAATTATGAAATTTATTATATTGTTAAATTATTAAATTATGTCAAAAGTTTCTATGAATGAAGCATGATCTTTGGAGTTTCCGAAAAAAAATAAAAATATAGAATTTAGAGATGTTAAAAAAATATATATATGTTTGGTGTCGAAAAAAATAGTTCAGAGGTTTTATTTATTTATTTATTTAAGGGTTTCGGTGGGTTTTTAAAATTTTAAGTAAGATTTTTTTATTATAAAATTTTGACAAAAATAATTAACGGTAAAATTAGATTTGATAATTTAAAAAAAATTAAAATAATATCTAATATTTATAGTAAAAGTTAGGCCTAAATATAATACTTACCAAAATAAAACTGAACATAGGAAGAAGCTTTAAACGGACAAAATTAAAGGAATGGCTGGTCGGAGAAATTCTTCCATGTCAGCAATACTTCTGTCCACTAAAATTACGACACGTCATTGAAATTTAACCCGTTGGCTAACCGCCTTAAACTAACGGAGCAATGCAATGTTAACGGAGTTGAGTGATTTCCGTTAACTTCGATAAGATTTCATCTAGAGGAATGCTAGGGACACTCGCCATTTGCACTCTCCAACCAACACTTCCATTTTCATTGGGCCACGTTGTTTTCGTTGCAGAGAGGTGATCATTTATAGCTCAAAGCAAGCTTACGTGGCCCAATAAAAAGGCATGTGTCGGCTGGAGAGTGCAGGAGGCGAGTGCCCCTAGTACTGCTCCTTCATCTATCATCTCCGACGACAGAGTCAGACCTAAATATTCCATCATCATCAGCAGTATTGCAGTAACACATATCTTCTCTTACCTTCGTTCTCCGTCTCGGTCTTGCTCAGTGTGTCACCTGAGCACCTGGCTACTTATTTCGTTTCTCTTGCACGACAAAGGCAATACCTCATCCAAAGTAAAAATGAACGAACAAATAAATAAAAGAAGCAGATCTTTGAACTTTGAAACATGTTTGGTTTGGCCACAAATTCTCCACAAATTGATTATAAGAAGAAAGTATAATTGAAATAATCAAGTGGGCATTAATCATCAATTTATAACGGAAGATCTTTAATTTGCAGCAAATATTCCCAATTTTTGCATAATGGACCTTCAATCCTTCAAATTGTAAACCCTAGGTTTATCCCCGAAAGGTGCCCACTAAACCTCCAACGTGACGATGTTGAACACAGCAAATGAGCGCAAAATAAGCAGCCAAGCGTAGGTGACAGGTTGAACAAGACCGAGAAGGAGAACGAAGATAAATGAATTTTGTGTTACTGATGATGATGGAGTCTTCAGGTCCGACGCCGTCGTCGGAGATGATAGATGAAATCTTATCGAAGTTAACGAAAACTACTCAACTTCGTTAAAATTGTATTGCTCTGTTAGTTAAAGGGGGTTAGCCAACGTCTTAAATTTAAATGATGCGTCGTGATTTTAGCGCACAGGGATACCTGGGATACCGCTGACGGTGACGGGGTATCTCCGTTGCGCTCAAGAATTTCTCGTCTGGTAGCTTATAGAAGCAATATGCTTTCTTAACAAAAGTTTATTGAAAAATTTTTTGGTCACTTATAAGCAAATTTTAGTGATACTCTCTCTTATTTAATAATATTCCTTTCTTTGAGCCTCCAAGGTTCCAAAGGAAGTGAATTAATTAAAAACATAAGATTTTAAATTAAAATTTTTAAATTTTAACATTAAATTTAATAAAGGGAGTTTAGAAAAAGAAAGAAATATTTTTTTATATAATTTATTATTCGATCTACTAATTTTTATGCATTTTTTATATTGACTTAATGTATCTAAAAAAATTAAATTTTTAATAGTAATCTCTAAATTTTAACATTAAATTTAATAAAGGGAGTTTAGAAAAAGAAAAAAATAATTTTTTATATAATTTATTATTCGATCTACTAATTTTTCTAAATTTTGATAAATTTAATTTTTTATCTAATAAAATAAAAATATAATAAGTAATTAATAAAATTTTATGTTTATTCTTAATTAATTATTACCTGAATAAGCTTATCAAAAAAATTATTACCTAAACAAGATTTTAAATTTAATTTAGAATTCAAGTTGACTTGGAATTCTAATTGAACAGGAAGGAATCTTGAAGATCACGAGGCAAATATGGAAATTGCTATTACAGCTTGAATTTGTACTTCTAATAAGAATCTAACTCTAATACATGTAACTTATTATAAATGTGTTATTAGCAATCCTAGAATTGAAGAGACAAAAGTGAGAGAAAAAAACACACCAAGAGTGTGGTATGGTTATAACCCTCCCCTATGGGTGATGAGAGAAGGTGCCTCCGCTCTTTTTGGGTGTTGAAATGGTGAGATTCCTATCCAATTAGAGTGTTAAGAGGGGCTTTTTAGCCATAGGTGATTATTAAAGTTTCTTAGAAGGTATGAGAGTTTTTGAGTGTGTGAGAGATTGAGTGAGAGTTATTGAGAGAGATTAAGAGTTTCTAGAGGAGATTGAGATTGGGTTTCGAATATTGTAACTCTTTCTTAATAGTAGATTTCTCTCTTCATCTCCGTGGTTTTTCCCTCACTTGGGAGGGTTTTTCACATTAAATTGGGTGTTTTTCTTTCATATTATTTTGCTTTATTATTTAATCCAATTGCATAATTTTGTGGTTATGATTTTCATCAATTAGCCTTGGTGGTAATCAAATTCCAAATGGTATCAAAGCTTGGAGATGGGGATTTATCCCCAACAGATGACTTTATTCAAGGAGAAAATTCATTAATTACAAGGTCGATGTGCTATTAAGGATGGATTTAACGAGTTGTGTGGGAAGCTTGGAAAAGAAAAGAAGTGACTTGGAAATAGAAAACAAGGTTGAATTGGAAGATACAGGGTGATGCCAACTCAAAGTTAATTTCTAGGATGGCTAATGGTAGTAGAGTAAGGAATAAAATTCTAAGCATTAACAAGGGGGCAGGTGGGTGGATGAACTAAAGGAGGTGAAGAAGGAAGTGAGGAAGTACTTCAAAACATTTTTTAAGGAATATCAATAGGACAAACCTAAAGTTGAGTACCTTGAATTTCAACAGGTTATCTAGAGAAGATATTGAATGGCTTAAAAGAGAATTTATAGTAGAAGAAGTGAAGCAAGCAGTTTGGGAGTATGGAAGTGACAAATCACTTGGGCCACACTACTTTAGCTTTGATCTACTACGATCATTCTAGGACATTATTGAGATGGATGTGGTAGAATTCATTCAAGAGTTTGCCAGCAATGGGAAGTTAGTAAGAGGATTGAACTCATTTTTCATTGTTTTGATCAATGTTTTGAAAGTTGAACTACAGGTCGAACCATTTTGGTCTTTGGTTTTTAGTTTTATTAGTCCAACTAGTTGGATCAATTAAATTAGTCTGATTCAATTATAAATAACATATCTATGATAAATATGATATTATGCATCGCATATATATAAGGTTTAAGTGGCTCTAATGGTAAGTACATTCTTTTGTACTTGAAAGGTTATAATTAGGTTTGAGCCCATAAGATGTCAAATTAACATATTGCGTAATTAATTACC